CATCTTTTCAATGAATTAGATATGAATTCCAAAGTCATTTCTATAAATTATCATTGGAGATTCATAGAAAATGATTGTGAACAATTTGATGAAGCTTTTCGATTAAAATATTCTTTACATATACAAGAAAAATATGCAAAACTGACAAATGAGTTTGAAAACAATTTCAAACGATTTCAATTTTTACGTGAAAATCTAACTGAGAAGAGAATTGAAGATCTTGATCATGAATTGATGAAATTAATTGATACTTTACCAACTATTTTTGATCAATTTTACGAAGCGAATCTTACAAAATTCTATTCCGAATCGATTAAACTTATGAAACGAATTGAATATTTGATTTTAAATGACGGTGCAAATGTTAATTATAACGAAAATGTTTTTCATTTTGGAATGTTAATAAATAAATGGTTTATATCTAAAGGTAATCTTACTTTATCTGATAATCCAAAATTTCTTAAATCACTTATGAAAATGTGTAAAGCGATATTCATTTCTAATCCATTTCTTCTTCAAATTCAAGAATATACAAATACTTACGCTAAAATTTATTCTCCATATTATTTCTTGAGTTATTCGATTTATCAATTGAACTATTTTCCTGATGCGCGTTATGAACCAAATCATCATCTACGAATTAATTGGTATAAAGTTGAAATAAATCTATTTCTTTTTATCTTAAATCATTTATACAATGAAAGATTTTCATTGGAAGATTGTCTTTTTGATATTTTACACAAAATTAAACCTTCATTTGCTGATCAAATGTTTATTCGAATATGTCAATTAGAAATATTAAGAATTTTACTTGAAAAATATGAAAATGATTTTCTAAGATGTGACAAAGAAAATCGATTTGCAATTATTTTAGAGAATTTATTTAAAACAAATCAAATCGATGTTATTAAATTGATTTACAAACAAAATAAAACTATTCGATATTTATTTGATAAATTAGAAAATATTGAACACATTGTTGATATAATGATTGCAAATCAAAAAATGAAACAATCCTGTGAAATACTTTTCAATGATCAACAATTAAGAGTTTGGTTTATTAATAAAAAATTGTTATTTATTTTATTAAAAAAGAAACAATGTAAATTAATTAAACATCTATTCAAATTATCATCATCAATTATTCATCAATTGGATGAAGATGGAAATGATTCTTTACTTTATATTTGTTTAAATGTACGTGGTTGTCGACATCGTTTAATCGAATTTCTAATTCAAAATGGATCTGATTTATCTCGAAGAAATTTTAAACATATCAATTTTTTCAATGCATTACACATATCAACAAACAGAAAACTGCTCAACAAATTAATCGATCATGAAATTATTTCCATTGATTATATTTCTAAAGAAGTTAAACAATTTAATAACGATATTTCTAATGAATCCATCCGTCCGTCCGAATCATGAACCTTGATTTTTGTACAATAAAAACAGCCATTCTTAACAGATATAAGAAGGATATCACACATTTTTATTTTATATTATAGGCTGTAGATACAAAATGTAACGTATACATTCTTTTCGAAAATATGTTTAACATTTGCAAAAGCTTTGCTGAACCATGAAATTTCACTGTTTTCATTCGTGAACGGAATGAAGTTAGAGCATTATAGATTGTTTAATCCCTCAAGAGTGGTTGGGCAGCGTCCTAATAATTTTTCCAATTGGTTTGTTTTTAGTAATCAACAGTGCATCATAGGTGATGAAATGAGACTTTCAGTGTCGTACAGATATCTCTGTGAAGTTCAATTGTGTGAAGTTGTATTTGTTAAAAGGGAGGTTATGAATATCTCTACAACATCCGTATCAATAAAATTCTTTGGATAAACGTTTAGGCCATATGACTATATCCGATCAAGACTACAATGCTCTCATTCACAACATATGATAAACCTTTTTTCGCGTTTGTATACGAAGAAATTTATTTCATCTAATGTATCGAATATAATCAGAAAGAACGTATGAATCCAAAATTGACGATAAGAGTTGTCTATCCACTTCGTTATGTCATTTTACCGCATTTAAGAAACGAAACAAGTGAATGCATCAATGTGTAGTGCTTCAGTACCATCGTTATGCAAAAAAGTTTTAAGAAATTATAAGTTGCTGGGCGGGATCGAACTATGCCTATCCTTGGTTACGCCACTACAAGAACTGATTCATTTAGACCCTCAATACACAATAAAACGAATGAATAAAGATTTTGTAGAATGGAGATGTTGAAACCGAAGTTGCTGAAACATATTATCATTGGCATTTGATAATCAGAGAATGTTCCTCGTGAACGAAAATCTATATTGGAACTTGTAAATCACTTCCATTAGGGAAAATTATCGTTAACTAAACGATGAAAATCATGAAAACAACGTCATAAAGAGAAATAGTGACAGCAAAGATACCGCTTATAAAACTACCCAACTTTAAAATCGAGATCATCTTTAGATATTCCAATAACTCTCTCATATCTTCCATTTATTCCTTTGACTGAACAGAGGATATACGTATGTATGAAGCACCAAAAAGTTCTCCATCTTAAAGTGCATTGAAAAAATCTAAAATGTTGAAATTAGTCCAGCCAATATTGTGATTATTATCGATCTCATGTTGTTTTCCAGCTGATTGAGTAGTTTTATTCTGTACAAACGTTTTTATTACATCTAAGCGTTGTAATGACAAGGAATTATTATTTGAATTCGTGGAAATTACATCTGTTTTATGATTTAGATCGATAACTGCTCCATGTTATCGGGAGCACTCAGTGACTGTTGCTTTGCCAATGAAAGGTTTCCTAAGAAAAACGTGTTTCTTGTTGAGCAATGAGTCACTATTAAGCGTCTTTTTTTATATTCAGAGATGCAAACAATTGTTTCGTTCAACTTTTCTATGTGTCTCTTCAAAGTTTTCCGTTTTTGTGGTTCAACGAAATTAGTAGGATAACCATTTATCTGACTGATATACTCAATGAACTGGAATTCCTTATGAGAAAAAAGAGACCAAAATGTCAATCTATAATTTTTGCAATATTCTCTAATGTACAGATTATTGTGGGCAAAGCGGCACGTAGGTTTAAGCTGATTTATGTTTTTGCCAGTTTGACGTAAAAAATGAATCGACCGGGCCGGACCGGATGGAAAAAATTGTCAAATTCCATCTCAGCCATGACGTGTATACAAAATAAAAATAGAAGAAAAACAATACATTCTTATACGTCAGTCAATTACGAGAAAAACGTTTGCTCAATAATTACGCAAATTCAATGTGCTCTGAATCATTTATGAGTCAGAGACGATCATCCACATCGAATATTCATGTGATTTGTGTCAGAGAAAGTGTTAGGACACAATAGAATAATGGGTATAACAAAAAAAAGAATAAAAACGTGAAAAGTATGTGTATAGAAATGGCCATGAGATGAATCAATAGTCTTTGCGTATGAAAGTGTAATAAGTTATTTTCGTCTCTCTTACTAAATATAATGAGTCGAAGGAAAACGAAGAATAAACACGTGTTTGATCTCGACAATATGTAAAAAGATATTCTTCAATAGTTATCGAAGTATAAAACTACATAATTTACTTTGTTCCGATGTTTCATTGGTGAATATTCACCTTGAAAAAGAAACAGAAGAGTTAATGAAGTAAAACATATACGTATGATGTATTATAAATACATTTTGCGATAGAATAATAAACATCGTAAACCATTGATTTTTTTCTTGAAAAATATTGATGATCATTGTATAATACAAGACCAATAATAATTATTAAAGATTCTTTCAATACAACTGCTGAGTTTGTTATTCTATTCTCGAAGTAAGATCAGATGAGATTTGATCGTGTACATTTAATCTCATTGATCAAGATTATTCAAAATGTAAATCTTAATTAATTCAGCTCAATTAAAATGAAATTTTATTCTATAAACTTATCCATTCAATTTTTTGTTCAGATGGAATCTTCCTCGACTAGTGCACAACCTAAATTACCACCAGATACCAAACCATTACAACATCAAGTTGCAGGACATATCTACGGAAAATCGAAAACAAAATTCGGTTTATTACAACGATGTTCTACTGGTGAGATTCTCAAGCCACTTATTGATGAACGAGGTTCACGCGAAGAACAATTTTATAAAGATGTATTTTCCGAACAAGCATCGAAGAATTTACGTATACTTCGACCATTCATCAGCACTTATTTAGGAACATATGAACATGATGAAATAAAATATATCGTCTTAGAAAATGTAATTCATCCATTTATCCATCCGTGTGTTGCCGATATTAAAATCGGTCGTATCACTTATGATTCTACGGCGAGCGCGGAGAAAGTGAAACTATCTCGTGAAAAATGTCCTACGTTGGCTGAAATCGGTTTTCAACTTCTTGGTTGGGAAATGTATCGTTCATCAAACGATTCTTATGAATGTCATGACAGAGTATGTGGACGATCATTAACTAAAGAAGAAATTCTTCATGCCATTGCTCATTTTTATGGCGCTCCTTCGATGAATTATCGTGAGAACATCAAATTGATACTCGAACATCTGACCGATATGGAACAAGTTATGGTCAAACAAAATGATCTGACTTTCATAGCAACATCTTTATTAATTGTTTATGAAGGTCAGCCAAACGAAAAATCTCCCAACAAAGTTGATGTTCGTCTAGTGGATTTTGCTCATGTTTCCAAAAGTAAAGAAGGTACCGAAACAGGTCAAACGGACGAAAACTTTCTTTTTGGTTTACGCAATTATATTAAACATTTACAAAGATTACTTGATGATGAATATGTATACGTACTCATTGATAAACTAAAATAATTTCCTTTAATTCGATATATACTTCAAATGGTCAATGGTGAATTCTTTTACACTTATTGTTTGTTTGATGAGCACATCTGATATAATGAGAATAATTGATGAAACTGTAGAAAAAGAAAATGTTTTGTAAGCGAAGTTTTCAGAACAAATCTTCTCACGAGAATAGAACGCATTTTCATTGAAAATTTATCGCTAAAGATTGTACATTAACCGAAAAGTCGACTCGTGCAGATCCTATGAGAAAGCAGAAATCGAATAAGAATCGATACACGAATCCGAAAACTTTTAACAATTGGAAATCACCATTTTGAGTGGGTCTAAGAGCCAAACAGAATCGTCTTTGGTGTGGTCAAGAGTCAATAGAGAGCAAACACTCTCACTCTCAAGATACTATAGAAAGATTTTATATTTATTTAATTATTCAAGCGAGAACTCTACTCAGATAGGCAAGTCTTATTTTAACGGGCTCTTACGAATGAAAACCCTTTTTTTTTACTGATTTTATCTGCCTCGGTAGGCGACTCTTCCTCGACGAGTATTATTTGTTTTTCTTCAAGCGCTTCTTTTATGAAAATTTTCGTTTTTAGAATAGTTGATAGATTATGAGATTTGCAATGTGGAAGTACATTTGTTTGTTTCTTCTACTTAAGTTTAAGCAGCGAATTTGGCACAGATGTAATTAAAATAAATTCTTCTCTTTTTGAACTCTAGAAAATAGTTCAGTTCAATGATTCTTCCATGAAAAGATGCAAACAATGGTTAAGCAGGATGAGGGAGCAGATGATTGCTTGTCAACGTTGGATGCTCGCACACAATTGAAATGCATAGTGAGTGAATTGTCATAAAAGTATAGAGAAGGAAACAGAAGGATAACATTTTAATATCCAAGATTATTTATAGCGGCAGGCGTGATCCTTGTATTGCGTTTCCTATGCTTATGCCACCATTTGTTAATTTCCTTTCGCACTTCTGGCAAGCAGCCGATACATACAAATGGCTGAAGAAGTGAATGTAGATAGAATATATAATAAAAGTAGACTGTTTCTATATACGCAGCAAAATCAGGTAAATGAGTTGTTACTTGTATAAACACAACCAGAGCATATGGTAGTACACATGCCAAGTGTAAAGCTGAAATCAGCAATATTTGTAAAACCATTTTAAGATGTTTGCTTCTTTGAGTTTTCTGCTGTTCACTAAGTGGTTTTCTACGAAGTACTCGAAGAACCAGAACTATACTGAGTATTATGTTGAGAAAAAGAGGAAGCCAATTATTAAAAATATTGTCGTAGAGTGCAATGCTTCCTCTATATGAATAACATGGTATGCCACAAGTAATAACAGTAAAATCGAACTGATCACAAGGTAAAAAGAAAATCACACTGGCATAGAAAATAATTATATATGTACTGATTACTAAATATGGTAGATAATGAAAATATAATCGTCGTTTAGCCGTATTAAACTTATTTCTATGAAAAATAAACATATATCTTTCTGCGGAAGCCCAACAGAGCAAGATATTGCCATGCCCATAGAATACCATATCGTACCATTGCCATACGAAGCAACTAATTTTTGTTTGCGGTATACCGATTCCTCTATATAAAAAATCTGCTATCCGTATGACATCAAAAGTATTTGTCAATAAACTGACAAGTAGTAGCGCTAAAAGTGAATGGTAATGGAGAGATTGACGAAGTGTTCGATTAAGAATAAGAAAATAAAGTAGAATAGACGCACAAATGAGCGAAGGTGGTTCGAGAGCGACAAAAATACCGAATTTAAGATTTCGTGTAAAGTCAGTTTCATAAGACACAGATGATTGTGTTGAATTCTCTATTATAGATTCCATCTGAGAAAATTCTGTGAACACGATATGACAGCACTTGTTTCTGCAATAAAGCGTAAAGATATGCTCTATTCATTACCGTATAATCGATGGAAATTATCTTCACCCTTCATAAAATAAATATAAAGACGCACTTTACTCTTATCTTTAGAAATAGAAGTGTAAATCGAGTAGTTCATCATCAGCGACTGCAGCTGTAAAAACAGACCATTTTCCTCACGCTGATGGTGGCTCAAAATTCAACTGGTCTTTGAGGAATAAGTATGAGAAATATACATAAATTGCACATAGATAAATATCAAGCAACAATTTGATCAATTTTGAATTTTTAATCACATCGATTAAAAGTTTTTTTTTCCTTGTTTTATTTTGAGCGGAAAAAGATCTACACGGTTGCTAGAAATGTTTTTTCAAAGGGGGTACAACCCTAACGGCTAGCGCCCCGTCAAAAACGGGATTTGGGGGCGTATTTTGATTTTATATAAGATAAGGACTATCTATAAAACTCTGGAAATCGTGATCTCCCTCTCTCTGAACGACGTGATTTTAATTTGAATGTAAGCAAACACCGTGTCTTTCATTCGTACCTTTTAATAATGATCATCATAAATTTATGATTTAGCTGAAGCTGATTGAATACATTTATTCCCTCGACTGAAAGGAGGGTGATGTCGAAAAAAAGTCGTCAAAAACTGAAACTCGTTTGTTTGTCAAAGGTCAAATCACTATTTTTTCTGAAAATGTTCAAAACTTCATAAAATGACGTTTGCAAGGGGTTTGAAGACTTATGGTTGCTCTGCTGAGTATTGGAGGTTTTGAAGCTTTTTAGGAAAATACCAAACGTTGCTATTTTATTGTGGGCCTGAAGGTATCAGGAACACTTTTGGCAGGCGTGGGTACTCAATCAAATACAAACAGACTACGTTTCTACACACGCAAAAAAAAGCAAAACGCCAAAAGCACCTTCTTTGTAAGCGATGACGACGAGGATTGTGTATTAAACCATTGACATAATGACGATTGAGCATTTGTGCAACAGTTACACTGAAAAAAAAGGTAGTCCACCAAGCCATTCCGGTTTAGTGATGGCCCACCAAACTATTTTAAGTTTGGCACCACCAAAATGGTTCTATAGCGTAAATAAAGAACTTTTTTAGGTTTTGAGGACCAAAAAGGTTTCGTGCTGTTATTGCCAAACCATTGAAAGGTTCAGCAGCGTGTATACTGAACCTTTTTGGTTTCGTATGTCTGGTAATAAACCTGCCATAGTTCCGTAGAGCACATAAAGGTTTCGAAACAGACTTACGAAACTATGTAGGGTTTCGTATTAGACATACCGAGCCTTTACGTACATCACTAGGCTGACTGAGGTTTCGCATTTCGGATGCCGAACCTTCCTGAGTTCCATACCGCACCTTCCGAACCATTTCTCAATTTACGAAGTCATCAGAGGTTCCGCACCAGACCTCCAGAACCATTAATTTCTAAACGAAGGCCTGAGGGGTTTCGCCCGATACCTCGCGAAGCATCGGGTTTGAGTAGTCAGTCTTTTGTTCTAGGCTGATATACGGTCCTGTTATGGCGTGTACTGTCCAGATAATCATTCAAATGACTTGGCTACATGGAGGCCAATTAGATAGATAAGTATATACTTATTTCTTCCCATATGTTATTCTTCGCTGTTTAGGTTATATGTTGGGCGGAATGCGCGAATGAAATGTAACTACTCGTTGTCAGTGAATACCTGTGTTTGGGCTTTAGAATTATTTCAGGTCGCCAGTGGTCTGTTAGTGATGGAGAAGCGCGATCAAGCGGACGAGAGAAAGGTAGGAATTTTCATTTTATATAGCCGTTTGAGTGAGTCTATGTTCAGCTGTGAGTTAGTATAGGCAATTCTCTGAGCGGCGTCGGTAAAGCGTTCTTGTGAGTCAGTAATCCTTTTCCATGAGAGTCTTTATCTTTCTGATCCTTCCCAGTACGTTAAGACGCCAGCACAGTAGAGTATTTCACCAGTTCTTCCTGTGAAAGTCATATTTACACCATCAGACATCTGATCCTCGACGACCTAGGNAAACGTTTTTTCTGAGGGTTCCCATCAGACAGATAGAGACTCTCATGGAAAAGGATTACGCACTGACCAAGGGCGTCAGTGGTGGCAAATTCTCCAGAGGTATTGCATATGGAAACCCTCAGAAAAAACGTTTTGAAAATATTTTTGGGAAAGGTTACGTGCGAAACCTTTTCTACGGAACCTTTAGTTTTTTTCCAGGAATGGTTTCGTACGAAACCTGATGTGCGAAACCTTTTTTTATCATCGATCATGTAAAGGATCAATACGAAACCTTTATGCGACCAAACCATGTGAGGTTTAGCGATTGTGCCCGCCGACCGATTGCTTTTTTGGTTTGGTAAAACACCTTTTTTTTATCAGTGTAGAAGTAAATATGGAAATAATGCATTCACTTTTTCATTACACAAAAACTAACATTATAACAAGTTTTTCAAGTAAATGACTCACTAACAGAGTGAAAGGTAATGACCATCTACTAGCGCAATCTTCTTTTGCTGATATTTGATTGTCAGACTGTTTTGCGTTCTGTTGAGTACTCATATATATGCATTATCGCAAAGGAAACCAATGAAATTTTGTGGGTTTTTATTGTTCTCACGAGATAAGTTGGAAGAAAATAGTTTTCTTTTCGTCAACATCACGGTTTCTTTAAATTCTATTACAATCATAAAGAAATAAATTATGAGTTTAGAATTGTTATCCAATGAATTATTATTATATGTGTTCGCATTCCTTGATGATGTTCATCTCTTCCGCGCTTTTTATGGTCTCAATTATCGATTTAATTCCTTGTTTTTCTCATCAAGTCGCCAATATCATCTCGATTTTCGGTCGATATCAAAGAACACTGCTTCAAATATTTTTACACAATATTTATCCGTAATTCCTGATCGAATTATTTCTATTCATTTCTCAAACGATGATGAAACACCGGATGCAATCGAATACTTTCTTCATCGAACTATACCTCTTAGTGTTTTCTCTAATTTGCGATCACTTTCATTTCATCACATTTTATCATACAAAACAATCGAAGAAGTTCTTGAAGAACTTCGTCTTGTTCCAAATCTAACCTGTCTTCGTTTCAAAAAATGTTATATGACGATAAGCGAAAAACAGCAGCAGGAGATACTTGATAGTATTTGGCAACTCCCAAAAATAATTCGTTGTCATATTGGCATCAGTTTTTCCACAAAAACTTCTTTCAAAGAGCCAACAGTTACATCTTCATCTTTGAAACATCTGACCATACGATCTGTCAACGTTCATTGTGCTGCATTGGCAGAGTTAATAAAAAAAACGCCCGATCTTGAATATTTATCCATAGAAATTAATGAACATTTTATTGGACATAATCTTCAATACCAGTTTGAATCACTCATTTCATTGAAGCTCTATGCTCGTGACGCATCGTTTGGAATGGGGACGCTTTTGAAATGTACGCCTAATTTACGACATTTGGTTATTGAATCTAAGGATACGTACATAGGGAATATAAATAATTGGCTATGGAACAGATTGAACGTTGATCCTGGGCAGTATACGAGACTTACATTTCCCTTTTCTATAAACGGATGTCAATGGGAAAAGATCATTATTAGTCATTTACCAAAACTCAAAACTTTTCAACTCAAAATAAAACATCAATGTTGGACACATAGTATAAAAGATAATGAAGTTGATACGTTACTTCAATCCTTTAATACTCCCTTCTGGATCACAGAACGTCAGTGGTTTGTACGATGTGAATGGGTTATGGATCAATTTTCACCTTATTTCTGTCTCTATACTTTACCCTATAGTTTTGAGCGATACGACATTTTACATCCTGAAATTAGATCTAAATCAACATGTCCTAATGAAACTGATTACTGGTCTTATAATAATGTACGTCAATTACAATATTACTGCGGTTCATTAAATCCATGTTCAATGATAGATCGAATTCAATTTCGAAATATATGTTATCTTTCTCTGGAACTTCCAACACACAACATGCTAAACTCTGCTTTACTTACACTGGATCATTTGCAAACACTAAATGTTTTTACTCGTGATAATAATGTTGAAATACGAAAACAATTACAAATATTATTCGATTGTGCACCATGTCTTAATGCATTGAAAATTACTTGTGGAAATTTGGATGCTCTGGAAAGTCTATTGCTTAGTACGTTTAGTCTTTCTATACGTCGACTTGATGTACAAGAATATATTGATAATGAACACGAATATTATTTCAATAGTCAACAATGTGCAACGCTATGCAAAAGTTCATTTGGCAAACAATGTACAATGCTTCGAATTAACGTTGAAGATCCAATGGATGTAGTTGACTTAGTTTATTCAATGCCGAACTTATGTGCATTAAATGTTCAGATTGCCAACGATACATATCGAATATCTGAAACGAAACCATCAGTAGAAGAAGATGAAGTTCTTATATTTTTACGAGAGTTTCTTGATCTAACTAGCGCGGTAACACGAAATGAACGGGATTCCAATGAAATTCAATTATGGATTCGATAAAAATTAATGGAATTTTTGAACAAAAATATGGAGATAATTGAACTTGAGAATGAGTATATGTCTTGTATTTTTTTTAAAATAATCTTCGACAAAAAAAGTTTATTCGAATACATGAATGAGAATGAAGTATGTACTTCAATTAATTTGACAGTAATATTTCATTGAGAAAAAGAACAAAATGAATTGTGTAATTCTGGAAAAACGAGTTCAACGAGAACTCTGACATTAGCTATCAAAGATTTTTCAGCACTTTGAAACGTATAGGCTCCTATACGACATAGATTTTCATGGAAGTGTTCATCGGAGACTTTCTACATAATTTAAGTTACAATTAGATCATCTTATTCTTGAGGGTGTGGGTGGTGGCTGGATACACCAAATCCACTCATATTCCTCAGCTTCCTAAGACACACAGGCATGGGTATCGAGCTGGATACACTGACTCAGCTGCATATGGTAACGTAGTGAATTGTCTGCTTTTGGATGAATACCGGGTGTAACGGGATTATGACATCACTCCGAAATAACGTATACCACTAAATTCCGCTTTTGACCTTCTTTCGTTTGTTATAAAATTCATTGTTGAGATCACTAGTCGTTAAGGTTGCAATCTCCTGGAAAAGCATAAAACTTTTCACCCACACCCTCAAGATGAATCCGTCCTGCTCTTCTATGACATCTATTTGTCATATAACTCTGTTTCCTCGTCATAGGTCGAAATGATAAGCAAATGACTTTCTTTTCCCGTTCTGTTATTATCGAGCACGATGGAGTGACTAAAATCTACTTACGTAAGTATGCGAACCAATTTCATCAGCGTTACGCAACGAGTCGACGAACATTTCATCATTCATTTTATTTACATAAATCTTCAACTATGAGTTCAAGCATTGATGATGTACCAATTCTCAACATTGAAACAACAAATAATGTAATAAATCGTGATACAGTTCTTATTCCATCAATTTCATTATTTCGTCCAACAAATGTTCTTCGTATATTCGTATTCATTGAATTTCTTTATGTAACGATAATTTGGTTGATAGGTACAGCCATTTTCTTCTCATGATTATATAATTTTCTGTTGAATTTAGAGGGTCAGACTCATTCACTCATTGATGATATTATTCATTTTCATCTGCCGACATCTCTATTTGATATTGTGATAATCTCAACAATAAAATTAATTGCAGTAGTTGTTCTTCTGACTGAATTTGAACGATTCATTATCCATAATCTCTATCAGCCAATCATTCGTCGATCATTCGTTTCTTATAAAATTCTATTCTTGATCGTTTTGTTGTCAATAATTATTTCTTCATTAGCTTTTGGTATATGCAAACTAACAATTGTTCTTCGCCACGATTCCTTAAATAAACTTTCCATGTCCGTATTGTATGTCGTTGTAGTTCTATCTGCATCGGAATCATTTACTATGCTATGGTTATATTTTTATGTCAAACAAATGAAATTAATTGCTCGACAACCATTACATTTACAAAAGAAGGAAAATAATCCTCGACGAATGTTTTCTTTAGTTCAATCGGAAAAACCGTGGCTTCTCGTTGCAATTGTCTTTTTGCTTATTGATAGTGTTATTGACGCTGTTGATCTTTTACTCTATGGTCGAATTATTGGTCTAGCAGTAGTAGAACAAGAATCTATGCATTCAGTAAATACCATAGTAGGGATTGCATTTTGTCTTAATCTTATCAATTCAACAATTAGTGTTCTCGAATCATGGATGTTCGAGTTAGTTGGACAGTAAGTTAAGGAGAACAGATTCTACTTATTTGTTTAAAGTTTTTGTTTCATTCAAGAAAAATGGTTCTACGATTTCGAAAAAACGTTTTTAATGCTATTATAAAGCAGGATATTAGTTTTTTTGATGAAAATCGCACTGGTGAATTAACAAGTCGACTGTCTAGTGACATTCAAGTAGTACAAGACAGTATGACGGGACATTTAGCTTCACTTATACAAAGTTTAATTCATATTGTTGGTAGTCTAATCGTCATGTTCTATTTGAATTTTACATTGACGTTAGTGTTGGTCGTTATTGTTCCAATCGTTGTTCTAATTGTATTAAAATTTGGAAATATTGTTGAAAACTTAAGAAAAAAGTTTCAAGATCAACTTGCGATAACCAATAATATTGCTGATGAATCGTTCGTTAATATTCGTTCGTATTTGTAAGTTTCTGAAATTACTTTCAATTGTGTAAATCTCTCTAGGAACTGTTCGAATATTCGGAGCTGAAAATAAGATTCAAAGGAAGTATAAAGAAAGCTTAACAGAATCATTAACGATTGGAAAAAAATTAGCGTTAATAGATGGCATTTTCTCAGGAGTTCTACAAGTTTCAATAGCTGTTGCTCTATCGGCGATTTTATGGTAAATAATCTCATATAAAATGAAAAGAAGATCGTATCATTTGAAATTCTAGGTATGGAGCAAAACAACTTCATGATAAGAAATTATCCGCTGGCGTTCTGGCGTCTTTTCTCTTGTATATGCTACAATTGGCTTTCGCTTTTGCATCGATTGCTGAATTTTTTACTGGTAAGATGATATGTGTTGTTTTGTAATTCAACAATAAAAATCTATATGTTACTTAGAATTTATGAAAGCAGTTGGTGCTAGTAAACGTTTATTTGAATTAATTGACCGTGAACCATCAATTCCAACTACAACTCATTCGAATTGTTCAATAAAACCGATAGATTATGACGGAAGTGTACGATTTGATCATGTCTGTTTCACATATCCAAGTCGACCGGAACAACAGGTTCTCACTGATATATCATTTGTAATTGAACCTGGTAAAAAAGTTGCATTGATTGGGCCTTCGGGATGTGGAAAAAGTACTATTGCATCGCTTATCGAACGCTTTTATGATCCACAATCGGGTGAAATTTATCTTGGTAGAGATGTACTTTCATCAATTGATCCACAATGGCTTCGAGAGAATGTTTCATTTGTGAATCAAGAGCCAATATTATTTGCTTGTTCAATTCTAGGTAATATTACTTTCGGATTAGATAGAAATCAAGTGTCTTTCGATGATGTCGTACGTGCTGCAAAACAAGCTAATGCTCATCAATTTATTGAACGATTAGAACATCAATATGATACATTAGTTGGTGAACGCGGTGTTGGTTTGTCAACTGGACAAAAGCAACGTATAGCAAGTGATTTCAAGCTTTCTAAATAATACTTCGTTTTCATTGAAAAAAAAATCGATTTAGTTGCGCGATCACTGTTGATCAATCCGAAATTGTTATTACTTGATGAAGCTACAAGTGCACTCGATGCTGAAAGTGAACATTTAATATGCGAAGCGATTGAACGAGCAATGATCAATAGAAGTGTATTGATTATTGCACATCGTCTATCAACTGTAATCAATGCAGATTTAATTATTGTTATTGATCAAGGAAAAATTGTTGAACGAGTTCGCGAAAAATGTCAAGAGAATAGTTTTTATCATTGATATTTTAGGGTACGCATCAATTTCTGATAAACAATGAACATGGATTATATAAACAATTACTTCTTAGACAAATGCCACTACAGTAACGTCATTGTTTGAAATTTAGTTATCAAATAATTGACAATTCGATACGTGTATGACCAAAAATAAAGTAATGATCTGATTTTTAAAGAAGAACGAAACAGAAATATTTATTGATTTATATCTTCATACTTTTTCATAATCATCGAATATTTATTGGAAAAGATCATAGATTTATGTTTTAACAGATTTTATTTCATCACTCGAAATCTACAAAAACAGAGTAGGTAATATCAAAAGATATCATGATGAGTTTAATTACGTCTTCGCTTTGTACTGATCGAGTAATGACAAATATTCAATGATTTATTAAATTGTGACTCGTTTGTGTCATCTACATCACATTTGAGTATATATGGGCAAAAAACCAAGCAAAACAGGACATAGACCTTTCTTATTTCGTTTCAATTTTCGACAACAGTATCCTTTCTGACTCCATAATTCTATTATAAACATATATAACAATGTTTGCTCTTTCTTATGTCATTTAATTCAAATAAATTAATAAATAATTAGCGAATAGTCTTTCAACGATACGACGTCAGCAACGCGGAATACAGTTGATTTTTCAAAAAATCTACGTGATCTGAAGAGAATGTTGCAGACGGGTTTGATAGAATTTCAAGTAATCTACACAATACATAATATTGATTTCGAAAAATGCTTTGCTTCATAGCTATTCTAAACCCAGTCCAGGTCAAAACGGATACATTGGATCCTTCTTAGAATTCGACTATTCTCGATCGAACTCAGGCATATCTGACAATAGGAAGTGAACAGAATTCACTCTTTCACATGGTACTGGATTCCAAAAGGATACCGAGCCTTGACTCTCGTCGGAATGGATCGCATATATATGTATTTCCCTGAAATAAACTAAATTATGGTCAACTGGCAGTCTCTCTTTCATTTGCATTCACCATTATCATTCGCAAATCTACGTCTATATAAACTACTCGCCTTCGTAAGATCTTGTTTGAATGGTGAAAATTAGTTCGGACTCTGTCCGACGGATATTGTTTCCGACAATTTCATACAGGTGGATCAGATGAGTTATCACGATATGCAGTGGCTGTATGAGACTGTTTCCGAACGGATTCTTTCAAGCATGATCTTACTAAAATAGCTATTCGATAGAAATAAAGCGCATTCCTGCCGAACATGATATATATTTACTCAACTTTTTATCTCTGTGTAGCATTTGATTTACCACCGATTCAATGTCAACTCAGAACACATTTGCTTTTCTCACTCGACAATTTCATATTTACTTTGGCTTGTCCAATGTAATCTTAGGCGTGATTGGTAGTGTGTTCAATATTGTGATCTTTAGAACACTGAGAACATTTCGAGAAACAGCCTGTGCATTTTATTTAACTTCCATTTCGGTGGCAAATATCATTGAATTACTTGCAGCATTATTTGTACGAATTCTGAGCGAAGGATTTGCTTTCGATATCAGACAAATCCCCTTTATTTGTAAAATACAAGTTTACATTGCAGCATGGTGTTCGTTTGTATCATTTACACATTTATGTTTAGCGACAATCGATCAGTTCTTATCAATGAGTAAATACAGACGATTTAGTAACTTGCGAGTTGCTCGATTAAGTGTATCTCTTACTTGGGTCTTTTGGACTTTGTATTCCATTCCTATTTTAATCTATTGGGATGTATCTTCGAATGTATGCAAGATTGTTAGTCCAACTTTCGCTATCTATGCCACTTATTTTCAATTTTTAATTCTCTATGGAGTGGCGCCTATCACTATCATGAGTACATTTTCTATATTAGCCTTTTATAATGCTCGGACAGTGATTAGTCGACGAATGAATATTGTACGCTTAAGTCATGATCGACAATTAACAGCAATGACACTCATTCATGTTACATATGTTATTATTACTATATTACCTTATGTGATCTATTTTGTTTATTCGGTGAATCTAACTGGTCTAAATGCTGAACAAACAGCACGTAATCGCTTTATTTATGATATTACAATTTTGATTTATTATTCAAGTTTTGCCGTAAGTTCTTCGCTTAAAATTCAGTTCCAAAGTTCTCTTCTTTATTTATTCTTGAATCTTAGGGTTCTTTCTACATTTATTCTTGTGTTTCACAGCGATTTCGAAAACAATTCGCCTTTGTTTGTACAAATATGTTTCAACAGCGAATTGATAACCAAGTTGCGCCAGCCAATGAATAAGCACATTGTCATTGTTTCTATATTTGCCTTCAAAAGTCGGCCAGCTTCTCTATTTTTCAACTGTAATGGGCCGTTTTCCTTAGCGTGTTAAAATAAAGCGTCATGGAAATCATTTTCACTCCACATCACCTTGTGAAATACAGAAAATAAATTATTTTACAGTTTATTTCTATTTCATATGATTATAAGCGCACGATTTCAGCAAAACGCTTCACTGAGACGAAGGGGAAAAGCGTGATTTGTTTCGTGGTAATTAGACATTCAAGCGAATGATATTACTAAAATTTGCGCACGAGCCAACACTTAGAGAAACTAAGGCAAAGAGATTTTATATTCAAATTGAATAGAATAAAACATGAAAACTGTTCTTGTCTGTGTGAAAATATAGAGTTAATAGAAAATGGTGTTCGGAAGACCTGAAATATTTAATAACAAACCTTTGAATTATTTTAAATAATAAATTCATAGAAAATTTATATTCAACTGTAAGTGTTGACGGTTGATATACGAAGAACAGAAACAAAAACCTTGAAAACAGTTGAGGTAGGTTCCTTGTTAGTTTTCTTCGTTCTGTTTAGCAATTTTGTTTGTCAGCGAATTCTTTTCGTAAGTTGAAATTGATAAAAAAAACCAATGATTTCAATAAACAATCAAGCGTCATTCTGTGTCGATTATCTACCAAAGAGAAACTGCTTGAATAGAACGTCTGAAAGAAGTTTTTCACTTGAAATCCATCTACAGTCATAATAGAGAGACTATTGAAAATGAGAATCATCTATGAAAAGTTATCGATATGAATTCGACAAGCAGAGAGATGAAATCAATGATTTGTAGCGATTTCTTTTTCTTGTACTAATTTGTATCCTTCATTTGATTCAAAATGTACTCGCGAAAGGAATCGCCAGATCTAGTCGGACGAATGCTTTAGCAAACATTCCAAGTGATATCTGCATTTGAAAGTCGGCAGATATATTACCGAATTCAATCATCTTTTATTTTCTATTCATTACATAGCTTTTCATCTTTACAATGCACGTGGTATAGCGAAAAAAAATTACATGTATGATCCGAAAGGTGTTTCATGTGTTACAGATCGAAATGATATTGTTGTTAAAATACCATCTTATACTTATCTAAATAGTCCGTATTAAATTATTTGATATGGAAACATTCACATTTTCTTTCTTTTCTTTTTTAATAATATCACTAGCGGAAATAGCCGCTGCAAACTATGGAACATTTTAATCAGGTTTTATCACCAGTATTGCACTCATACCCTAGATTGAAAGGAGGGTAATATGAAAAGAATTTCTTTGAACATGTATTTATGTCAGGGTCGAAGGCCAAAGGTCGAAACACTTTTTCTCGAAAACTTCATAAAACATGGTTTAGAAGGAATTTTACGGCTCGAGGTTAGTTGAGGGAGATTAGGTTAAAAGAAGAGTGAACCAGCGAGATCGACAAAGGTGCGCTTGAACGGTCTGAGTTCCCCTAAGCGAAAAATTCTGGTGCTGCTTGTACACTGAACCAAAGGATCAGAGGTAAAATAAAGATTCTTTCCCTGCTTGCAAAGAGGGTGAGACGAAATAGGATGAATTGAGTAGGGGTGGGATGCAATGGTACTACCTGAATGATTGATAGTCAAGGAATTATGGGCAAGATTGTAACCGAGCTCGATTCATCGTCGGCAAATTTGTTCTTCGCAGTTAAAAATGCAATTAAATATATTTTCAATATACTGGATAAGAAATTATTGGTTGTAACGGTTAATCCTGTGTGGCCGACGAACGGTTAGACGCCAGTCTGTAAGACTTCTCATAAGTGTAATGAATAAGAAATTGTACCGAAAAGAATCCATTAATTTGTCCCAACAAGATTTTTATTTAAAATAGTTCATTTGGAGTATAAAACTTTTCCAGTTGAAACAGCTATTATATATAAATTTAATATATATTTATGATTGCCATGAATTGACGTCAAAGCATTTCGATTAAAAAGTTATTTATAAGTTAATACCGAGTTTTCATTCTGACTACTTCTTCTAACGGCAAACCAACGATAAATTACTCTGCGCTTTAGGTAAAATATATTTTAGCTTGAAAAGTTTTTCAAAGATTATCATTGGTAACTCTGTTATGCATAGAAAAGATCATCTTTTATCAAGTTAGTATAATTCTTCACACAATTAAAATATTTTATGACATTGAATGTTTAAAATAAAATATATCAAAGAAATATCGAATGAATTTAAAACGAAAGAATCGATTTGAACATCTTAGGATTAATAATATGTGGATCAATTTTGGAATTCAAATGTTTTCGCAAGAAATAATTGTAGTTGATTTCCTAAATTTAGTAGATTATTATTTAGACTATCTTATATACAAAGGATAGACTATAAAAGATTTTCTGTGTTAGATGTGAATATCAGAAAGAGTATTATATTATAACACGAACATATGGACAAGAAGGATTGACATGATTAGAACGACAAAGAGGCTTACAATGTTTATTGATTCAACGATTATTTCACAATAAATGCATCAATAGAAACACTTTTCACTTTTGCTAAGAAAAAGAAAATGAAACTCTGATAAACTTTTCTTCGATTTTCTTTTCAAAGACAACATAGTAAATTTCTATTTTTTTTAATTATTTCTTTATGTTCGTAGACGAGCAGTAATCAATCGTAATGGTTGTCCAAGATAGTTCCTGCATTTGAATAATTTCTTCAATTCTTTTCGATAGACACTTCCAGAAAGAATATAAAGAAATGTTGCGAAAACATAAGTACCTTGTTGCCACACTATAGTGATAGTTCGAATATTATTAATAAATGTCGTATTTAATGACGGTACAAATGTTGTTAGAATATAAGTAACTGCTGCTGGTATAGAAAAGAAAACATATGCAGCTACTTGAACAACTAACATTCGAACTAATTGATTCTCTGTTCGACGATGTGCAAAGCCTCCTTGATTCATTAGCGTTACACGTCGTAATTGACTCTGAATATTATGAATTGTTAATAGACCAAATATGATCATAATCAATGGTGATAAAATATAATAGAGAATAACTCGAGTAGATAAAAAAACAATAATAATGGGTGATGAAGATTGTATACATCGATTAACAATATAATCCCATTGAAAAATAATTAGAACTGGACTTAAATAAATAAGAACCAGGATAGTAATAACTATGATTGATCTTTGTGCTATTCGAATATGACTTAAATTTCTATAAGACGCTGTAGATGAACTTGCAAAAACTCGATCAAGTGAAGCGCATACTAACATTAAAACAACAAATAATGACGATGCATAAATAATAAATGGTTGAAATGGACATCCAAATGGTGTATTAGATAAAACAATATTAAATTCATAAGTGATAAATAGACTGACAGGTGAAATAGTTGTATAAATTAAACTCGAAATAGCTAAAGCAAGAAAATAATGAGGACATGGAGATGATCGGAGTGTTCGACGAGAAAGTATTATAATATTAATAATATTTGAAATGATTGTCGTCAATATTGTTATTGGTAGAATATAAGTAGAAATACGTTTTATTTCATTGTTAAGATTATATGATGCAAATGATGGTGTTGCCGTTGTAGTGTTCATTTTATTTTATATTTATGAATGATTAATATGTCATTTACTATGTGTTTAAATACGCTTCTGGTTGTCATCTGTTGACGTCAAAGACTTTATCTTGAATAAGCAGCCCGTAAGTTTATATCCTTCATTTTCATTACCATCGCGTAATATTACAAGGATGAAAATTATCAAGATCATATTTATGAGACAGTCCATGAGAACAGAGCATTTTCTAATATAGTCATATTCTCAAAAAATCTGATCGCCCGCCATCTTTTTTTATGATTGCAAATGAAAGAGCATCATCAAAAACCAAATTTTTAGCTCATATGGACTTACCTTTTAAGAGCTACGAGCGTCACACCTGGCGCTGGTCGTCCACACAAAAGCGACTATTCGTTTACGGATTTCAATTTATCTCTTAGTCGATCAACGATTAAGCATATCTACACGCTTACTCTAATTAGGATGGGTTTCTATAAAATGATTGAAAAAAGTCTGTAACCGAACTTTATTGTTATTTTTACACTAATTTCAATGATGAGTGAGTTCATTTATGTTTTTGCCTCGTTCAAACGTAGTCTTCATTTCCAAAAAGGGTCGATACCTTCTTCCGTAACCGGAGTGTCATTTGTATCGTTCCAATTTTGTTTGAAGTCAGCAGGTAATGCGTCAACGTTCGATGGATAGAGCTTCTCATCATAGTGTTCTTCTTCAACCATACCACGAGACGCGTAATGTGGGACAAGAACGTGACGAACAATCATCCAAGCACGACGTTGTTCTGCTGGTGGGATACTCTCATTACACGCTGCTCCTTCAGTCGATAGGTGATGCAAATTATCACACCAATCTGGATGATATTGGTCGTAGAATTTTTGTAGAGGTGCGATCTTGATGTCACCAACAAACATCGCACCACTCTTCCAATGTTGATAACAAAGTTCGAGAACTGGTGTGTTTACTTTGTAATAGGCCATTCCATAAAAAGCCTGTGCAATATGATGAGAAGTCGCATGAGTATTTAAAAGTTTTGGTACAGGTCGCTGACATGTGCAACTGTTCGGTACGCATTGACATTCAAACCATGGCTCATACATTTCTTCTTCGTGTGGTTCTGGTCGACTGCACTTTGAGCCACAACCGGGACAACGACTCTGACACCCTAGACGTCGTGAAATTCGTTCTTTACATCCCGTATACGCTTTCACTTTCACATCTTTTGTTAAATTAATCACTTTCTCATGTATATTATTGATATTGTTCAATATATTTTTAAAGCCTTGCTGAAAATTCGGAAGGTTTTCAATACTGAAAGACATAACTCCAACGATGACAAATTGGTATTTACTACTTTTTTTTTATCTAAGACCAGTCAGAACCAGCCATACATGTTTGTTATAAAACACAGGTAGACCGTGGTGATACGCATTTTCGAGTTAAGACAGGTAACGATCAGTATGACGGACCTTTTTGTTGGAGCAGAGTCAGAAGGAGCGAGACGTAGTTGTTGGGAAATGTAG